CCCTTCTTGTCCCGGCATATGGTACGGGGAAGTCATTGCACCCATTATGGCAAAGTGTGGCATCAAACACGTGGAAGAGCGCTTGCCAAACATGCTCAAGTGTGTCGGGATCATGATCATAGAAGGCTATTGTTATGGAATTGACAATGTTCTATAGATTTCCTCCCTCTTTGATCTGCGATGTATGGAGTTAGAATAAATAAAAAAGACAAGGTCTAAAACAATAAAGTCTGGATTTTGTGCTTGCTGCTACTCCACAGTTATGTTGTAATCTTGCTTGGAGCATTCCACCTCGATCGATGCTTGAATCGACGATTTTATGTGCGGCTTTGCCCCATCAATTTGGACAACAACATACTTCTTCAAGTGTTTTTAAGCATCTCTAATGGCAAAGAAGACTTTTTCCACCATCATGTCTCCCCAAGCATCCCCATCCACTTAAACCAACTTTAATTCTACCTCTCTGGTAGCCCTATGCTTGCTTAAACGCACCGCAAAACCTTCCCTCACGAATTGCCAGATCCCAATCCATACATTGAACTTGGCCTCGTTTGGCCGCTTGTGGGGCTGCCCTACGGCAGCTAAGAACATCACTTTCTTCAAGAAAGCTTTGCTTTATGCCTTTGGAGCACCGGAACGCCTATCCTATGGCAGAACCCATACTTTTGGGGCATCTTTCATTACATAGAACCACTTTTCATCGATGTGGATCGTGTTTGCAAAATCGAAAAATTCCCATTTTCAGCCAACTTTTCGTGTGTGGCCAACGATTCAACGTAGCCTAGCATATCTTTGCTCTTTTGTGACATAGAGCTTGATCCATCTGCTCATCCTTCTTGCACCCATTCCCCTCAAGTGCTCAAAATTTGTCAATTTTGGCAAATCTGTCTTGGCAGCCAATTCCCGAATCGTTCGCCGCCTAACTGGGAAGATCGCCAACACCTTCGATTGCACCTTGTCGGCAGCATTGGGGCGCCTCCAGCAGTTGCCTTGATGGTGGCGATGGAGGTCAAAAACTCTTCGCCCAGAAATATGGGCCTTGAAGGCAGCTCCGATTTGCCGGATCGTCCTCGAATTGCAGCCATAAACTGCGGCAAGTTCGGCGATCAAGCCCACCGGAACTCGCTTTTGTTGCCCTGCCTCTTTATCAGGACAACCCCAACCTTAAGTCTAAATGGCGTTGAAAGTTCTGTATATGCGGTTTTGTTTCACCAATGGGAAGGCGTGCCCCTCACCATTGCGAAAAATGGCCGTTTCGGTGACTTTGTTGAAAACGGGTGTTTTTTTGGCTTGAGACCCCTTGCTACAAAGTACTGCCGAATTCTCAATACTTGATAGATCGACTTGAAATTTTGACTGTATACTCCCGAAACATAAACACAACTTGAAAAGAAATTTCGTTGAAAATTGAAGCTTTCGTGATAGAGAAGTACGGTGCCAAAGTTATAGAGGACAATTAATTCCGGACGGAGGAAGTACAATGTAAAATATTTATATTTAGGTTTCAATAGAAAGTGCATGTCAAGGCGAGGGCGCAGCCGCCAGTTTCCTTTAGCTTTCTTTTACCTACAAACACTGATCTACAATCATCGCCCCCTCAAGCCCCCCTTGCATGCACCATTGCAAGGCCTTAATCCTACCCCGGTATCCACGTCCAGCGGACAGCCAGGAACTGCTAGAGGCTCCTGGAGACGCCATCTCCAAGACCAATGCCAATCACATGATGTGACTGGCACCATCAAGCATGCCGACGGCGTGCGGGGCTGGACACGCTGGTGGTTCTTCTTCGGCTTCCCAAGTTAAGGGCTCCTGGGTGGGCGGTGCTCCCAAATTGCTGCCTCGCGCAGCTGTGGTCTCCTGGGGATGGAGGGCTGAACGTCGAGCCCTTCCACGTGCACTAAAGAGCATCTCGCAGCTTGCCGGGTGCCATAGATCGTCCTGGCACTTGCGTTGAGAAACAGTTTTTGTTTTCTCGATTGTCTTGCCTTGTGGGGACCCAACAGCTGGGAACAATTCATGACTGCAAAACACGTAAATAACGAACAAGTGGATAAATTCAAACAAGCATTTATTGGTAATAAAAAAGGCGGATTTATGGAATTTGCTTGGGTCGTGCAGTAGAATTCAATGAACAGACTGTGGACACTGCTTGCTCGGGCAAGGTAGGAAGCTGAAGACTACGTCCTTTCCCTGTCCTGTAAAACTGAATGGTGGTGATAATGATGACGAATAAAGTCGGCAACGTGCACAATCGTTTCTTGCAGTTCCAAGCGCCTCGTTATGTCGATTCTGACCAACTATAATTCAAAGAACTCATATCGGCGCCCAGAACACCGCCTCGCGGCCGAAAAACACTGCTCAAATTCGGTGCCAGAAACTCGGTGGCATCGGTCAGCGCATCCCGCCGGCGCGCCGTTGACTGTCCCCTGAGTGGGTGGCCTCCGCCATCGGCGATCCCGGGCCCATCCCCCCCCGCCGTTCCACGCCGCAGCCGCCACAGCATTCCTGTGGCCTCACTGAACAGCACCCCACCCGTCGAAAAAGGCTTTCCCCCGTTGCGATTCATCACACAAAGCCACACAAGTGTCCCCAACCGAAAGTGTGACCGGGAGATAGAGCGGGCTGTGTGGCGCGCGGCGAAACGCCGGATTGCCGCCCCATGGAGCCCCTCCGCCTGCTGGCGCTGATGAACTGCGCCCTGCTGACCGGCGCGGCGGTGACGTACTACGCCTACGACGGCAAAGGGAACAATGTTGCGCACCCCAACTGGGGGTGCGTAGCCACACGCGTCACGCAATTCGCGTTCCTGCGCTGCGCGCCACAGCCGACCTGGTCGAGGATCTGAGAGCCTTGCTAAATAAAAGTGTGTGATGATGAGGATTTGGGACCCGCTGAACAATCCGCTGTTACGGTGGTTTGCAAAATGGCAATGGTGCCCCCAACCGCATTGTTGCCAGATGAGCAAACGGCGTTCAGAAATGATCTGGCGGGATCAAGGAAACAATGTAAAATGGGCACACTCGGCAATTCGGGGCTTGGAGGACATGCGTACTGATGCACTCCTTTGAAGGCTCGAAAACTGGACACCTTTGCCAAAATTTGCCTCCCAACTTCTCTGTGTTTACTGCATTCTGGCACCTCAGACGTCCCTTGATGCGATTGCTGAGCATGTTCCCCACTTGGGAGACTCTCAGCTGCCCCGGTGCCAGTCGTCCGCCGTAGTGTGGGGCGCGTACCCTAAGGTGTACTTGCAACAAACCATTATGGCATGTGGTACGATATGATACCGTACCATACTGTATACGGCGGTGGGTGTCTATACGCTCAACGCCGCGGCATGTCGTTACCGAAGACATTTCCTGAACAGAACGCATTAGGAAATTCATAAGGTGTTGCGCCTATTGAGGTCCAGCATACTGAACAGAAACGGAAAGCTAACTTAACCGTTTGAGAATTCAAGTGCAGAGCAGTGCGGCACAGATGCGGTACGCTGTATAAACGGTGGCATCACAGGCGGTCAGGGTCATAAGTCGCGTTGGTGGCGTAACTACCCAGGGAAATCATATGAAAAACAAATGCTGTTAGTGGTTTCATGAACTCATCATGGAGTATAAGCTTGGGGTGCGTATTTGGGCCAAAATTGGACGCCATTACCGCTGCTGTGGCCACCGAGTGCTGCCTGCCTCGCATATGCGACGTCAATGCGCCAAAGCTATCGCAGCAGTGCTTCCCGTCACAGGCGGAGCTTAAAGCGACAAGAGATGCACAAGGTGTGCATGAGCTTGATGCGCCCCCTTTGCCGTTGCAGCTCCACAAACAACGAGCTCCAACGATTCCAGACGCCGGCAGCGTACGCGGATGGCATCAGTGAGCCGTCGGTAAGATCAGATGGGTCACCTGAAAAGCTCAAGCTGAGTATGAGCATCCCATCAGTCGTATGTGGTGTCAGTGAAAAGTTCTGCCGTAAGCGGCAGGGCCTTATCCTAGAAATTACTTATAAACCATAATTACTGAAGAATTTTGGCAGTCAAGTCGCGGAAGCTTACCAGACGTGGGCTGCACATTGGGGCAGTACGAATCATCCACAGCAATATGACGCGCGCTTGCAACGCTCACGAGCTGCTGGAAATCCTTAGATAAGGGTTAGGTAAACCGGACCATATTGAAAACCTACGGCTTCTTCACTGAAAGAATGGAAGAGTTACGCAACTCTTACGTATACTAAGTGTACGTGCGTACCCTTTGTGGCTTCGCTGAGCTCGGAGGGGTGACGTGTGCATTGTTTTGGTGTACCCGATTCTGGAAAAATTGGCAATTGCCGAAACCAAATATTCATGTTCGCAGTTCTGCAAACGGGATGCGTACACATGCGCTCCAGAATGTCTATAGCTTCTCGCTAGAAGCTCCGTGGAACTTCTAGAATGCCCATTCCTTGTGCCAAATTCCCGTCCAGTGTGATGCCGGATTGACGAATGCAGTTTACGGAGCTGTGACACGTAACATAACCCTGCTTTGCGGCAAGCGGGGCGTGGATTCCGCGAAAGATCGGATTTAAGGCTTGCGTTATGCTCACGCAACAGCAACAGCGCCCATTTATTTGTGGTATATATTGATGGTGCAACACATGTACATGCAGCAGTAAATTGAAGTAAAGTGAAGTAAAGTGAAGTAAAGTGAACCAGCAATGTTTTGTAGTAGATGGTCGTGCAATGGTCAGTCTCTGTTTTTGGATCGGACGGTTCTCTCAATGAACCAAACTTCGCGAGTTTTCGCAGTACAAAATTTTCGCAATTTTTCTTGTGCAAACGTACAGCAAATTTCCAAACCAAAAACTATTTCCTATCAGAACCCAATATATTCCTTCAGTTTCAAATTATTCTCATTTTGCATCATTCGAACACGGGAGGCAACTGTACAGGCGGCAAACTCCTACCGGTTTTGTGGCCAACGTGCCGATTCTGCCCTGTAAATCGCCAGGGGCAGGATCGGCCCAACCCCAGGAGGCTTACGAGGCACCTAGAATTGCCGCCGGGGAGGCACAAGAAAAGGAGCGCACGGCTGGCGACGGACATGCTCACGTACATCGGCCAATTCTTCGACCACGACATCGACTTGACGCCGGGGGGCAGCGAGTCCTGGCCCATACAGGTCCCCGAGTGCGACCTGTACTACGACCCGGAGTGCACGGGGACGGTGGAGATAGGTTTCAAGAGGTGGGCCCAAGGGCACCGTAGCCAGGATCACCATTAGAAAACGATATTCCTGCGATGCCATTTGGCACCATCGCAATCACTGTGATGGCGTCACTTTGTGTCAAAATGGCATCGCAGCTGGCATTGCAACACGGCGTTTTCCGCTAGTGGATGGGCCACAACAAAGGCAGCTTAGTTCCCCTGAATGGGTTTGGCAGGGAATGGTTGCAGCGCTGCCGTCGCATCTTTTGGGAGATGCCGGCGTCGTTCACGTAAACGTGTGCGCGTTCAAGATTTCCATCCATCGAGCAAGCAGTCAATCAGTTTTCGAACAAATTAATCGACGCATAAATGGAACGCACTGATCACCCAATTGGTTGGGTGAGTGAAACCAACCTACCAACAAGCCAGCCACCAACCAAACCAACCAGCCTCCCTTCAAATTAAGTCCCTGGCGAATGCGTGTCCTGTTAACGAATGGCCTGCGCACGGAGAGCGCGTATGTCACGAAAATGAATTTGAACCGCCGGGGAGTTGTGGAGTACACGGATATGATTATTCGGTTTTGGACTTCATTTCACCAAATTAAGACAATCGTACATGCATTGGTTGTGGTACGAGCCAGGCTTGGTATTTATGCCGTAAAAACTGATCGTATTTACGTTTTTACGCGTAAAAATAGTTTTTACGCGTAAAAATAATTTTTACGTTTTTACGCGTAACAATGCGTAAAAATACGTAAATACAACGTAAAAACTGCCCGGTGTACTTAAGGACAGTACATGCAGACTTGCGGAGTCCGGAGAATGGCAGCCAGATGCCCTGGAAGGGGCAGAAAACGACTTTTTGTTAAACCCCATCATCGCCCTTGCCAAAGGCGATGTAGACATTGTGCTGCGGGTGCTGGATATGGCGGAGCACTGATCATTGTACGCAACTTTCATCGTGTAACCTATGTGACGCAGGGACCCGCAAAAACGTAAAAATAGCCGTAAAAATAGGCCCTTTTGCAAATTTACGTTTTTACGCGTAAAAACGTAAAAATAAAAACGTAAACGTAAACGTAAAAACCAAGTATGGTACGAGCATCTGGCATGGTTGGATGGGAATCTGTGAATTATGGGAAGTATGTCAGCCAAGGAACTTTAAATATCGCCATTTTCGCTTTGCACAACGTCAACAAAGACGGATGCTTCAACATTCCCCTGGGCTGTTTCACCAACACTTGTTGATAGGAGGAAGGAAGGTTCCTGCAATGAAATGATGTCGCTGCGCCTGGATCTGTCGATGCATTTTTTTTAAATGAAATGGCCTCAGCAACCAAGAACGATGGTGCAATTAAAACTCAAGGAAACATGTGCCGCATTCGGTTGCTCCTTGCACATGCCATCCCTTCATGTTTCGACATTGCAAATATGCTTGTACTGTATCCACCGAGCGCAATTTTGGGCATATAGAAGTCCAATTCCCAGAATTGTACATTTCTTGACGCGATGATGTGATGGCGCGATGGCGCGGCGGTGAGCGCTCAAGTGCAAGTGCGACCTCTTATCATGATGCGGTAGATACAACTCAATGCATTGGATCAATTATCGAATGTACTCAATCAAAATGGAATCATAAATATCCTACAATACAAAGTGAAGATAAAATACGTGGAAGCTAACCACATCACGAAATTTTGCATTAAGACATAGTACGGGCCATCTTTCACAGCAGCAAATCCCGGCACATCACTTCCGTATTTCCTTTTCCCCATAAAATTTCAGGAAAATATCTCTTTAACATTTTTTGCGTATCATTAACTTGTGTCCATTCTCAATTGCTCTTAATGCTGCGCTTTTTCGTCCTCGACACTGCAGTACTTAATAGCCATTACACCACTCAACGTTGCATCAATTATCCCCGAATGTATAGTTCCGGAACCGCGTATTCAGGCCTTCATAACACGACAGCTGATCCCTTCGCAGCAAGCCCCCAGGTCAGTGTACAACGCCAGCACGCCGGCCACCCAGCCTCGGCAGCAGCTCAACGGCATCACCGCCTACATCGACGGCAGCGTCGTCTACGGCTCGACGCCCGACAAGGCGGACAGCATACGGTCCTTCCGCGACGGCCGCATGCTCACGCACGACAACAACATGCTCCCCTTCGCCACGGCCTCCATGGGCATAGCAATGGCCGCAGACTCGGGGAAGGAGGAGGTGGTGCGCGCGGCGGGAGACTTCAGGGCCAACGTCAACCCACCCATCCTCGCGCTGCAGACGCTGTTCATGAGGGAGCACAACAGGTGGGGGTGTGGCGCCGTCAGAAAACAACATTTTTGCAACGCAACATGCATGCCATTTTGACACAATATGATACCATAATGATTGTGGAGTCATTAAAACAGATGTGACGGCACCAATTAGTGTCGAACAGCATCGCAGTTAGCATCACAGTCATACCAATTTCTGCTGGTGGCGGCGGCGGGAGGCGTGCGCGGCTGCGTGGGTAATCTGGTTCGCAATTTTAAATTTCCCTTTCTGCTTGGCATTTATTACGTGTCTGGGCGCCTTATTCATTGATCGATCGACTGGTTTGGTGGAATGAAGTCATGTGAGAACGTACGCACCAAAAGCTGCACATGTCGCCACACGCATGGACAATATCTGGTGGGTATTCCAGCCAACAATTCGCCGAGTTCCGAGCGTGTTTCCATTTGCATATCAGCTCTTTCGCGAGGGTGATCTGCAGAACGCGAGCGAAACAATTTGGTCATGCTGCGTGTCGTCCTTCCGTTCATCACTTCATGTCTGTCGCTCATAAAATTATGGAACAATTGGTTTGCCAGTGATTACCCCTAGAGAACCCGCCAATGGGTCCCGTAGTTACGCCATCAACGAGCGCAGTATGGGCTTATCTGAAAACCGATTTTATTTGAGAATGGTCACAACCGCAGGCTGTGTCCAGGGAAGGCCGCGGTTCACATTGCCAGACGCATTTGAAGCACTGCAGGACTCCATGATAATTCCCAAACCGAATTTCAGCACACTCTCGCAGCCCCTCTGGCAAGACATTGCCCGTCTTGCACAGGCTTAGCTGCGGTCCCAGTGTGCAAAAGAGATACCAAAGGCGCAGTTAAACTCCTAACAGTGCTGTTGTGGTAACAAATCCTGTTGTGTTAAATGCGTTAACGCTAAAGTTTTGCCGGTGACCAGAACCAGCCTCACCATTCCGCGCGACAGGTCGACTTCCGTGCTCACCAAGGTCTGAACGCCTGCGCTTGTACCAGATACAGCCCTCAGACCCTTGTGGTCGTGGAAGCTGCGCATCAGGAGTGCAATGCGCCCTCAAATCTGCAATGGTTGAAGCAACTGCAACGCGCTTTTGGAGGCGATTGTCGGCAGCGCTCCGTGATTTGTGTGCAGGCTGGCCGCGGAATTTAAGTCCGAGCATCCAGAGTGGGACGACGAACGAGTGTTCCAGGAGGCCAGAAAGTGGAACGTGGCTCAGATGCAGGCCATCTGCTACTATGAGTACATGCCGTCGCTGGGATTCCAATTGGATGCCTACACAGGATACAAACCCAATGTGGACGCGAGTGAGCGCTCTTGCCCTTGTCAATCACAGCGAGCATCAGCAACAAGTAGATGGATTCCTAAACGCTGCAAACTTCACGCAATTGCTCGCATTTCTCTTTGTGGCAATATTTTTGCTATTCGTATTCTTGATAAGTATTAATAATTATATAATGGTGTTCGAAAAGTATTATAACTGCGAACAGTACTTTGGAATACCTTGCGAACCAAATTGTGCATAGTGCGGTGCAATAATGTCCTGCCAGCTGAGCCTGCCTGGAAATTGTGTCTTGAAGACTTCCCACATTCACTCGCTGGCATCATGACAGTACCCTGGTGGGACGCGTTGCGTCATTTACCCTGGTGTGACGTAGGGCGCCGCAAGTAGTACATGCTCAAGTAAGGTACTACCCAAGTGCTAAGCTGCAGTAGCGTGGCGCGAGCTGGTTCGCGTCGTGTACTTTAGCGAAAGATAGATATTTCCAGCCGAACGCGCTGTTGTTTGCTTTTGCGAAAGCGCTTGAGGGGTGGTGCTTCTGCCGAAAAGGGTGGCGCAGGCGCAGGGGGCACCCCTGCTGTCCGTGTCAAATTGAAGTCCACATGCGAGTGGCTGATTCAATATTTTGCTGTTTAAACACATTTTGCCACTATTTAGGGTCTGTTAACACTAAGCGTTGTACGGTGATTACTCTTGTAGACATCCAGTGGATGCCTGCATTATTCTACATGCTGGCGCGCATACATACAATACGGTTGCATTGCCACTTCAAGGGTGTTATATATGTGTACATAAGGTAAGATGCTATGTTTTGTTATGCTTACCGCCAATTTGGGGCTAAGATCATCCCCGCTCCTCTTAGCTTCAATCCTTATGCTGATGCTAGGACGACTCAGATTCACTGCCTAATAGCTTGAAGCCGCTTGCAATATCTTTTGAGCAATTTAGTGGCCACGGGTTCCAATGATTGTAGAGGACAGTAAATGGGATTCCAAAACCCGTGGCAGGCGACGGGGGCGGCCCAGAAAGCTCTCAATTGAAACAACACGGCGCCTCCCTTGAAGGCTGAACGCGCGAGGGAGGTTTTTGAGCAATTCTCAATTTGTTTGTCGCTGATGAGAGGCGTTCTGAGCATGTCCATAGCTAATGCCGTTTTCTGTCAATTACTAATATCTAGGCGTCACAGCTCTGAGCTTCCTTCCCACAGCGCCAGATTGACGCTAAGTGTGCCAAATTCGACATAGTGCCTCTCCTAAATCTCTTCAGCAATGTATCCACACCTGCGTCGCTATGCACATTGTTACGTCGCTATCACCATGCCATTTCCGTCATCTGGCGCCGTCTGCCGCGAAACGAATTCACGCAAGTCGGCCAAATCCTTTGCCTGTCACTGAGCGGGGGCAGAAGAGGTCGGAAACGTCGCAACGGACACCCTCTCTCGAATCCACCCAGGCGTGGACAACTTCTTCTCCACGGTGTCCTACCGCTATGGCCACAGCGAAGTGGGCGACATAATTCTGAGGCTGGACGACAACGGCAACGAAATTCCCGAGGGCCACCTCCCGCTGTTCGAAGTGTACTTCTACCCGACGAAGGCCCTGGCAGCAGGTACGCGCCCCCGCCAAACATGCCAAAATGGGACAAACTAAAGAAACCGAAATCTTGAGGATCGGGATGGGGAGGCGCAGGGGTGGCGTGGGCTGCCCAATCTGTGGCCGTGGGGCCACAGACAAGGCAAATGGGCGGCGCGCCCCGGAAGATTCATGCACGAGTGCAGGGTTGGCTGAGGTTGACGGGGACCCGCATGCCCGGGCCGGCCACCCAGATTGCGCACTTGTGAGCCCAGGAGCCCGGTGTCAGCCCATAGAGAATTTGGCCGGGTGTCGACCAGCATTTTCGCCGGTCCTTGGCAACCGACACCCTCTTCTGTACCCATCAAATGGAAGATTGAACGATTGCAACTTAGAAAGCAGCAAGGTAGTCCGAACTCCGCCCATGACCCGCCCTATGGACAGCAACAAATTGGACAACACTGCCTCGATCGCATATTTGGGCCAACTCTCACGCAGCGCTAACACTAACCCTTATCAATTCCAAACAGTTGATTCTGTTTACAAAGCGTTTGCAAATTAGACCAACGAGCCAGTGAATCAGCAGAAACAATGAGGCCCAGTGCTGCAACGAGCTCTTCTCACCACGTACTGCAGTTTCGGCAATGCAATTGGGCTTGTGCGGAACGTTTCCGTTTCGAGTCGCTCATCATGCGGGCTCGCCATTTGCTGCACATTGGATGTCGGACAGCTGGACAGCGGCAATTTCATTGAAATTTCAGTCAGAGGCCCACTGAATCGAATGCTTGAACATGGGGAGAATTGTGTAATTTACCACAGGTTACTAATGTACAAGCACCGCTAGCCGCTGTTCTCTGCACTCTGTGCGAAAGGGCATTTAAGTGCATGGACGACATTTTTCGGCAAATTGCATTTGAGTACATGGACGACATTTTTTGGCAAATTTTCATGGGTCTTTCTGGGTTGCAGGCATCGAGCCCATCCTCCGGGGCATGAGCTGGCGGCACCAGATGGAGGTGGACGTGTACTTCGCCACATCGGTGTCGCATTACCTGTTCGGCGACCCCGGCGCGGGCGGGTCGGACCTCACGGCGCGCAACATTCAGCGGGCGCGCGACCACGGCATCCCCGACTACAACACATGCAGGTGATCACCTCGGCCCCCAGCAAAGTCGACTAAGACCGCTCTGATCACATACTCACCCAGACCGGCGAAATACCCTGATCGGAGGCGCCTGTGGTGCGATGATTGGGATGGTGATTCATCATTGAATTCATTCAATGAATTCAACGATGAGGCGTCGTAACAGTGTCAGTGTTTTATGGCACTTTGTGGCTCGCCACTGTGTGGCACTTGCTTGTGGCATTTCCCCCCGAACATCGGGCGATGCGATTGGCGTCGAGGGCTCCAATATCGGACAGTAACATCTCATGCGTCAGCAGAAGGGATCAAGTGGATTGCCCTCTGGAAGATGCACGAGGCTACTCTCCCATCGATGAGAGAGTAGCCCCGTGCATCTTCCAGATGGCAATCCACTTGATCCCTTCTGCTGACGCATGAGATGTTACTGTCCATGACTCTGCGAACCAATGGAAAATTTGCATGCCGGTGACGCAAACAATGGTGGGCTGACCCACACCGCTACCGCGTTCAAACATCCGCATTTCAGTCATCTTTGAGTAATGAAAATGCCCAACCGAAAAAGGGCGCTGAAAAGTTCCGCTTCTCCGACAAATTCTCCTATATCCCAATGGGAAGCAACACTAAGTTCGTGTCACTTTTTATTGGGATAAATGTGGTGGGATATTTGTGGTAACAATTCCGCTTCGCCACGGCCAAACCACGGTAAGGCCGAATTCTAACCACAAATGCATACAACAAAAAAACTACCATTCACATCATCAAGATAAAATCGATATATGTCCGTTTCCATAGCCACTGTCAATTCGACAATAAGCAGTACCTCTCCTGTTCCTCTTGCTCATCCCAAAACATTGCCCCTGCCTTGAACCCATGCATCAGATGCAACGGTGGCAGTGCGGCAAACTGACGCCGGCCCTGGGCAATTCGACGCAGGGAGTCCATGGGATTGAAGAGGAAGACGGCGTTCTCTGAGATCACCAGCGACCCCTACGTGGCCTCCAAGCTGGAGGAGATCTACGGATCGCTGGACGATATCGATCCCTACCTGGGGGGCCTCGCGGAGGATCACGTCAACGACTCCAACCTGGGCGAGCTGTTCTACGCGTCCATGAGCGACCAGTACACACGGCTGAGGGACGGAGACAGGTTCTACTTTGAGAACGGCGACAATGGCCTGTTCACGGACGCGGAAGTGCAGAAAATCAGGGCCACAGGTGGGGATCGCATTCCCACGCACGTTGCTGAAACTTTTAACTTTTAAAGCAATGTACTTGCTAACATGAGGATCCAATTATTGCAGTAGTAATTGGAAGCCTACTGCAATACGGAACTGGTCATCGCATTGTGCAGTTATTAGTTCAGTTTTTACCACTGAAGTAATAATTGGACATTGCAATGACCAATGCCCAAAAAAGACTCTCAAAATCACTTTGGCATTGCGCGATTTGCCCCGTTTGATTTGCATGGCGGTTCTAGCACACAATGCTCAGCAATTCCTACCCCGTCCCCGCGTGCAAGGTGAGGGCGAGCATACGCTGCAATTGGCGTTGTGAAGTACACAATTCCGCCCGCATCTTAGGTGGTAAAGGCACTTGCTATCGAGTGGCCTGTGCCCTGCCGTGGTGGCCACCGTGGTAGAGCTATTCTCGCACCGTTTGCGATGTTGCGATTGTCGCGATTGCGACCGGGGTGCGTTGTGGAGGCGCATGAGTGTGGCCATCGCGAAGCGATGCCCTGCTCCACGCCCCACCCCGCTTTGGACGAGCGCCCTTGAGTTTCTGGACTTGAAGATCAAACACATATGTACTGTCAATTTCTCAGGTTTCACACCAGTGCAGCTATTACTAATAGCTGTAGTGTAGTGAGCCTCAAAGCTGAATGTTAAGCAGCAAACGCTTTCCAGTCCTACCAACAGCAGGTTTACAGCCACTCTACTGTTGTGATGATTATGCTGATAATGCTCACGACTAATTATCCTGGAGCCATGTTTTCACTCGGTGAGCGTGACGCAAGGACGCCATGTCTGCCCCAGGTCTGCGTGACGTCATCATGCGCAACACCAACATCAAAAACCTGCCGCAAAGCCTGTACTTCCGCGCCAATGACGACGTCTGGCCCAGGGCATGACAGCATCATCCGCAAGGGGGCAGCAGGGGGCTGGGGCGTTCGGGCGGGAGCGTGGAGGGGTAGAAGGGAGTCGTATGTACCTAGTCTAGGTGGGACTGCGGAGGGCTTGATAGGTGGCAGCAGGGACAGCAACACGCCATGACCATGCCAGCACAGCGCATACGCAGCATCCAACTGCTGGGCCATCGGCTGGTCGTGTGCGCATGTGGATGCAGACTGAGTCAGTCTGCCGTTGGATCGCTCCATTCGCGACTTCTTGCCCAGACAGGCGAGAGGAATGCAGGGCGCCGACCGGCGCTGGTGATGTTTCACCACTGCGTCACAGCGCACTACATTGAAAAGCCCGTGAGGGTGGCAGTATACACTAGATGCGAGCATTGGGAAGGTGGCCGCAGGGGATACAGTGGCAATGCGGGTGGTTCAGCGCAGTGAGGGGAGTGGCTTATGTTTGCAACACCTTTGCAAGTGCAGGAGCAGGATGGCAGGTGCTGAATGCTAAACGACAATATTGTGCACATTCATCATGTACCATACGCCGCAAGCAACAATAGGATCCACAGGCAGTATGACTAATAATGACCGAAAGAACATGACGAATACGGGCAATATCATACTGACACGACATACCCGAAGCATCGGTGTTGCTTACATTAGCGCCCACCAACTGTAAGACACGATCTCTTGCCGCAGGGGCGACAGCCATAGAATAAACACACAGCTGGGCAATACATCAGCAGTCTGCTTTATCATACTGTTCGGTGCTGAGCCCCCCCATTCATCAACCCGACCCTACACAAGCTGTCACAACGTACACAGCTCAACACCAACAATCATAATGAAGAATAGCGGCAAAAATCAATGACAAACTTCATCCCTTCCGGCAGGCACTGCCACCCCTCGTCATTCCAAAATCAGGAGCGCATCTAGCACATGCTGGGTCTCATCACGTTTGGCAGGTGTTCTGCATTCCCAGGCAGTTTAGAAATCGTCATCAAAGTCGTCATCCTTGTCGCCTTCTGTGACGTTCCTGATGGCATTCACGACGGCGTTGATGAGGAACATTGCGATGAAGATCTGGAAAAGGCCCCCGCCAAAGCCGAAGCCAAAACCTGGGAAGAAGAACGGCATCACGCCACCATAGCCATAGCCACCGACAAGGGGAGGTGCCACCAACGCCCCACCGCTGTAGCCACCATATCCGCTGTACCTCCTGTGCACAGGCAACTGGGAGTCAAAAGACCATTTGTGACATCAATCAAACAAGATGCAGTTCGTAACCCACAAAGATTCACATTTGTGCAATGTCAACACACAGGATCTCACCATTTGTGAAAAATGGTGAAACGACCTTGATAACATGCTCATGAGCATAAACAGCAGAAATGGATAGAAACCAGTCCTGGGACCCCACATCAGGTTTCCGTCTGAATAAACAAGTTGATAGTACCACACCTGGGAGGCCCTGATCATGGCAACAAAAGTTGGCCCCATTGGCCACCAGTTTTGTGTGGTGCAACTGGGTGGTGTTCATGCTTATGACCTTTGCAAACTGACAAACTCTATATGTATGTTTCTGCACGTATCATCGACTGCGACCTGCAAACGTTTCTTTGGTCTCTGCAATTTCACAAATGCAATACATGGACTGAGACTTCTTTTTGGCTGCAATGGGTGACAATTTGGCCAAGGCTAAGAAGATCTCAAGCCACAAGCGATGAGACAGGGGGCGTTCATGGCCTGTGCCCACAAGACAATCGCCTACAATGGGCTGCTGCAAGGGGAAGAAAGTTGCTGCAAAGTGGATCAACATCCTGGAGACTCTTTGTCACACTGCAGCGGAAGCCTTGTATGCAATTGGTTGAATCTCATGCAACAACGATATGGGCTGGAGGGCGGACCGAGTCCGCTTACGCCTCTATAAGCCACCGGGCCAAAATTCTGGCACTAGACCAACAAACTTTCTGGACAAACGGGGACTGGCGCAGAACAGCCTCGCCAATAATCCACGGAACTCACAACGGCGCCAAGCGGGCGCCAATTCATGCCCATTCCTGTTTCCCCAATCCTGGGTCGCGGCTGCTGCAGATTCAAGACCCAACAAAGCGAGGGGGGCCAGGGAGGGGCCGGGATCTCACCCGCCTCCACCACCGGCCCTGGGCATTGCGCGGAACGACGACCCTCCCATCCTGCCGCCGCTGCGCGCCGCCCAGGCCTCCTCGGGAACCATGGCGCCGGTCAGCATCGCCGCCGCCACGGCCGCCACGACGGGGCCGGCGAGCGCATCCCTCAGGCGCTCCCCGCTGTCTCCCTTGTTCGATTTTTCGGCGCGGCATGCCAGGCGAGATGGCCTGGCGCGCAGGGGGGGCAGGGCCCGGAGGGGGGCCGCCATTGGCGACCGGCCGGAGAAGGTCGCGGCGGAGAGGGACATGGCTGCTGTGCTGGGAGGCGTCGGCGGTGCGGGGTGGCCTTGAGGCTGTGCGGAGGCTCTGTGCGCGGAACAGCGATCCACCACTCGCTATGTACCACCGCGTCCACCAAAATATCCCCAACGTGTGGAGCAGGGCTTTTTTGAGCGGCAGGTGCGGGTCTAAAAAAATGCGGAAGCGTGGCACGGTGCCACGGTGGAAATATCGGGTCCCCGAAGTATCTCCCGCTCTCTCACGAGCTGTGCGTACGGATATATCTGTGTATCTGTGTATCATCCCTATATAGAGAGCCGTGTGCATGAAACTGGCGGATCAATCAACATTTGAGCCGTGAGAAGAGCAGATTCGGGAGCAGCTCAGAGCTGGATGCTGCTCGCCAGGTAGCTCCTTGCCCTCTGGCGCAATCTTTCTTCACTGGTGTCGGGACGCGGCAGCCCAACTCTGCCAGGCGGCACTTGGGTTCAACCGTACTCCGGCACGTGGAACTGGCGGCGACCTGGCTGTGAGTAGCACATATGCATCGACAGTCTACATCACGCATTCTTTCGCCACACAATAGCGTGTCATGGATTCGTCCCAGTATTGATGAATTGCCTTGGCAACGAGGCAAAATGTGTGCATGCTCCACGTGCTTAGCTTCATCTCAAGAAGTCGCCCCAAAAGGCCTGCACAACGTGAGCGCCCTGAGCTTAAAACCCCCCAGGATCTCCAACGCCCACGGGGCCCGGGCCTGCATCAGCTTCTGGCTTAGGCTTGTAGTCTATGCGCTGTGGCCAAAGGAGTTTCTCCGTTCCAATGCCCTGTGCCAAATATGCTGTTGCTAACGTCTGCCCAATAAATTTGATGAAAGAGCCATGTAGAGGTCGAATTGAAGGGCAGATTATCAGTTAAAAGCTGCAAACTCATTTGGATTCCTCGCAGGCCTGCAAAATGGCAGTGAGCGTTTTTGCAGAAGCGTGAGGGGGCTTCATCCACTTCCCCAAGGACCATGATGGACAATCTGGAGCCACACAGTGTTCTCAGCCCCCTGAATGACGTTGTACCTATGTGGTGAGGATCGATTCGTTATCCTTCAAGCACACTGCCCTTGCTATCAGCTGTTGAACACTCACATCAGCTTCAGCCATGCGGGTCTTTGCAGCAGATTTCTCTTCCAGTTTGGCCCAGACATCTTGACCACACACAACCTTTACACCCCTAAGAAACAGCAGAGAATGGATCGTCCTGGGCTATTGGCACTGAAAGTTGCATGGTGTCATCCACGGTTCCTGTTGGCCACATTGGCCTTGCCACTGCTAGTTTGGTGGATGTCCCTGTCTCGAGGGCAGCAGTGGCGCATCGACAAACATCAAAATGCCTCGAGTTTCTGGCTGAAGGTGCATCAGAACGAAGCTGTATGTTGTCACCATTCCCCCGCATGCGACCACCCAGTTCCCATGATCTCAATTATGAGTTGTTAACTCCACGTTGCTGATGTGTCCAGCAGGTTTTGTGCCAACGGATTCGTTGGCACAAGGCACAGTGCTAATTGTTCGCCCTACTACTCGTTATGTACAAATAGTTGGCTCGCATGCAACACACAAGTCCTGGATGCTGCAAAACATTGTGTTGCATCCAGGAAACACATATGGATGAAGAAACGGAATAGTGGAGCAGTTGCGCCATGCCCCAATTGTGGCCTACAGCGCAGACAGTTGTCGACTGACAGGCCGAGTGAAGCATTCTTGCCCCGTCTTGTGTGGGCTAACCAGCATACTCTGCATCCAGCCAGGCACACTCTGAGCCAGGACTGCAAAGCACGATTTTCTTCCTGTAAACTAGCGTTCAAATACAAAATTCCATGCCACTAAAACTTCCTTTACCTCTGCCCCTGCCTCTACCTGTGAGCTCCTCTGCCTCTTTCTGTTGCACCAACGGCATGCCTCTGTGCGCACCCTACTCCTCAACTTATTTTGAAATGCGCCATCCAATCTCCTGCTTGCATCCCCGCATGCACTACTCCTGCAACCCTTCCCTGAGCACAACTCACATCGATTCCAACCTGCCAACAATGCCCACCAAGCGTTCCTAAGAAGCCCACAGGTCCTTGTAGACAGCAAGAAACCTAAACTGACTGAGCCCCTTGGTGTGAGCAACAAAGAATCTTCGTCTCGGGCCCCGACCTCACAAAATTCTTGCTCAAAAGGGGATGCCCGCTCTCTGGTATGTCATCCATTCAACAACAGCCGAACTTCACCCAATCCCCACGCTGGTGACTTTCCAGGATCCCCAAGGCCTTCCCATCCCCTCCGGCAGCGCCGGAAAGCTCGCCGCCGCCCCCATCGGGTCACCGCCGCCACAGGAACACCAGCAGCACCAGGATGCACGCGGACACGACCACTGACAGCACGATGGTGTCCCTGGACTTCCTACGCGCTATGGCCCTCAGCAGGCCGTTCACCACTGGGAAGCGCGAGCCCAGCGCGTACAGCCTGTCCCCGATCCCCTCGAACACCCGCCGCTGGTCCTTCAGCTCCGCCTCCACCGCGTGCGCCGACCCAATCACCTCGTCAATCGCCGCAGTCGACGACGCGATCGTGTTCCGCTCCCTCAGCAGCGCCCCCTGCACCTGGACGCTCACGTGGGGGGCCCCCTCCTCGGACCTCGCCATCAGCTCCGCCCTGTCCCTGGCGGCCCCCACTGACGCGTTCAGCCTGCGCACCTCCTGCCCGTAATCCTGCAAAATGTCCCTGTGCCTGGCGAGCGTGTGAAGCCGCCCGTGGTCGCCGCTTGGCACCGATCCTCCCATCCTCTCGTTGACGTCCGAGAGCCGCTGAAGCAGGGATTCGATTTCCGACGCCTTGGCCCTGAGCAGCTGGTCCGTGGACGGCCCTCCGTGTGGGCCGTGGGCTGCGGGTGACCCGTCGAAGGTGGCGCACAGCTTGGCGTACGCCCCCAGCTTCATGTCCACCTCGCCCTCCAGCTTGCGGGCGTCGCGGCGGCAGGCGTCCCACTCGTGGGAGGCGGCCGAGGAGGAGGCCGCGGGACCGGCCATGCCGTTTCGGTGGGCCATCGCGGGCGGTGCCTGGCGGGAGTGGATGGGGATCCGCGAAATTGTCGGCAATTTCTGAGGCGACGGAATGCGGGGGGGCGGGGATGGGACGCGAGGGAGTTTTGTGTTTGCTGACTCTGCTGGATCCGAAGTGTGGGAAACAGGGTGGTAATGCATGCATGGGCCAAATGATGTGCGAAAGTGGGCAGGCTCTGACATGGAGGGCGATTGCCTCAATTTAGGGCGCTTTTTAGGACCAAGAAAGAGCACAAATTACGCCAAGGGTGACTCTGCTGCGAGGTGGGCCTAAGGTTCTCTTTCGTGCTGCAAACGGTGCACTGGAAGCTTCCCAATGCGTCCCAGGGTGGGTTCAACGGCAGATTTTTATTCCAAATTCTGTAAAGCAATTGAGTGCCCACGTGCCGCCTTCTTTTTAGATGAATTGTGGGGCTTTCGTGTGGGGACCCTTGTGACAGTCTGCGGGGACGCGAAGTGCGCACATGAAGAAGTCGAATGACGCAACTCCACCGCACAACAATCGCATCCCGAAGGGTTGCGACACCTGTGCTCACACTGGCACCGGAGCGAGGCTTTGTTGTTGCTGCATATGCGGCGCTCTTGGTCGTGGGATTCCTGTTGCATATGAAGACTTCTGCGTCATCTTTCAAAGCACGGAAAAGAGACATGAGAGCTCTTGGTTAGGAGGGAAACCGCGGTGTGCACGCCGTGTCGCCGTTCTTGTTCGCACGCACTCAGCAGAACCCGCAACTGCGAGGCTGGGCGCTCCCTGACAGGCTGGTGTGCCCCATGAAGAACGGTTCGTTGAACTTTCCCCCATGATCGCGCGGTGCCCACCGGGTCACGCAAACAAAGCGGAGAAACGTCTGAGGCAATCAGCAACCCTCCCTGGGCGTGCATTTGCTCCCAATGACAAAAAGCGGCGAGAAGCGAGGCATGACGTGACCAGCCGTGCCGCCGAGGCGCACATGGCGCCATTTGGGGCGCCCAAGACGGCCCCCGCTCCGAGCCACACGTTGTCCGTACCGGTGGCGGACTGCCGTGCTGCTGCGTGGCTCTGGGGGCCAGCCAGCGGGCGGACTTGTCGGGCTGGGGCCCCCTCGCGCAGTGGCGCGACGGGTTCCGCTGAGCCTCGCGTCACTCTTACTGTCCGCGTTGGGTGGACTCTTCTCGAACTGGCCGCGTGGAAGCGCGCAATGTAAAGCGGCCATCGCGCTCGCGTTGACCCAGAAAAATCCGAACGTTGGCCGGAGGCACGGCGAGGGCGCACACCGCTCCTGCGTTCCCACCCACACCAACACCAAAGAGCCCTTCCTTGCCCCGCTCAACTCCGTCTTCTTCGCGTGCCTCCTCTGCGCCGGCTGCACGGATGGAAGGTGCGCGGCTCCCTACTCGCCGCTGCGGCATCGAAGTTGGCGCTGCCCCGCCACCCCAACTCCCGTGAGGGTGCCCGCCCAGCCCACACACATTGATTCTGATCTCCCCGCTTTGCCGATCGCAGGTGGCCCCGGAGAGAGCCCGTGGCTCGCCAGCGGCGTGCCGCCGCGGCCCACGCTGCTGTCTCCCGCGACATCCCTTTCGTCGGACGGCCGCAGGGCGTCGATTCCGATCGAGGGCCTGCCGCGCGTGCAATCGGTGAACTACGAGGAGGAACTGGACCTGGCGCTGGCGATCTCGGCCTCTGAAGCGGAGGTGGAGGCCGAGAATGGGAAGGGGGCCGGGGTGGGCCGGGGGGCCGACGGGCAAGACATGCGGAGGAGGCAGGAGGCCGAAGACAGGGACTTCGCGATGGCCCTGCAGCTGCAATCGGAAGAGGAGATGAATCGAAGGGTATGGGGAGAGGAGGGGGGGGGGGGGGTCAGGGCAGTCAGCGGGAGGAGAGTCTGCCTCGGGCCGGGCTATGGAAACGTTTGCAGGGGTGGGGGTTGGCGTTGGCGTTGGCGGTCCGCATGATTTGTCGGCGGCGACTGCCTGCGGGTTGTGCGGTTGTTGACGGGCGGGCGGATGGGAAATGCGGCACCCGCTGAGGGCGAGATGTGTGTCGATTGTCTGTGACCAGCCCGCAGCCACTCCCAGTGGGCCAAGAGGGCCGGCGCCGGGAGGGCCCGGCGGTGACCGCCGCGGCGAGCCCGCGAGGAGCGACGCGGACCAGCCGACGACGAGCTCGCCCGACGAGCTTCTGGACGCGCATCGCTGCGCGGGCTGCGACAAGTGGCTGAGGTTCCACAACTGGACGTCCGCCCTCGGCAAGAAGTGGCATCCGGATTGTTTCAGGCACGAATTCTTGTGCGAAGATTGGCGCCGCTTCCTGCCTTGTGCGGCATTCGAATGGCGGGATCTCGCGCGGAGAAGGCGTTGAAATCCTTTTCTTTGGGTGTTGTGGTTGGGCATTGCTCAAAAACGAAGAGACGTGCGCTGTGCGAGCGAGCCATTTGTTCCATTGAAGCCCTTCCACACCAGTGCGTTGCACCTGCGGAGAAGATCACCAACCGACAGAGGGGCTGCCAAGCCAATTCAGACAACCTTTTGCGCACCTGTTGTTGCGTCTCTTTCACACGTGTGTGTCAGCCCTCACCCCTCTGGCTGTCCAAATTTCAGTTCGCAGCCAAATCGAGTTTTCTTGTTCGTGCACCGTGCGGACACGCCATTGGAAGGACATGTGTGGCAGTGGAAAGTCCACATCGCCTTGTCACAGGGCACCTTTTCCCTGGTCTCTCTGCTGAGCCTGTCAGCTGTGCCCCAGGTGTCCAGGATGTCGCAAGCCCATTCAGAGCATGTACACTCCCAAGGATGGAGAACCGTATCACCCAGAGTGCCACAGGGCTCTCTTTCACGAGCGCTGCATGGTGAGAATGCGGCGGGCTGTGTAAAGTGCACGATGATGTCGCAAGTACGCAACCAGGATGCTTTCATTTCTGCTGTGACGCTTTTGCATGTTCTGGTGGCAATGAAGCCAGCTCTGTGTCCAGCCCCTGTGACACGTTGCAATGCGCATTATAGCTGTTGGCAAGAGCCACCCGCACCATGCAACTACATGGAAAGGAAAGGAAAGGAAAAGAATGCTTTGAAGATTGACACGATGATGCGCTGTGCATCTCAGTTTTATGCTCAAGAGGTGAACGCCCTGTTGTTGCTTTTCAAACGATTGAGCTGGCAATTATCAATGTGCACAGTCAACATTGTAGCTTTTGCATAGGATTGATCAAGAACGCCCTTGTCATCATAGGTTCCCTTGCTTGCTTGCATCTCCCTCAATCCACACAGAACTTGATCGGCACACAAACAAAAACTTGACGTTGAGCTGTGTGCAGGTGTGTGATGAACACTTGCCGATGGTCGGAAACAGGATCTCGTGGTCAGAACACCCATTCTGGCGATACAAGTACTGCGGGAAGCACAATACAGATGGCACGCCTCGGTGCACAGCATGCGAGTGCCTGAAGCGTCACGGTACGAAGGCTATGTGTATTGCACTGGGAATTAGACTGGGGTGCTTCTGTGCAGTCAGGAATGGGTATCTAGTTGGTTAACCTGCTTGAGCATCCGCTGGCTGAGGATGTACACAAAACACTCCCAGTGTGAACATTTTCTGTGACAAGAAAACCTTACAGTGGGAGTTGCATGTGTGTCAGAAACACTCGACAGGCAGCGACTTTTGACCACGGGAGATGAAAACAGGTGCAACGGCATCCCACTCACACTTTTGTTTGCAATGCTCAGGTGAGAAATGGGCACCGTTGGAGGACGGCCGCCAGCTGTGCTCATCTTGTCAGGAAACCGTGGTGGTGGACACAGAGGACTGCCAGCCACTGTACACAGAGATTCTGCAAATGTACAGGGACCTGGACCTGCATCTGCCCTCAAGGCCGCCACTCATGCTGGTGTTTCAGCAGGCTTTGAATGAATGTGATGCCCTTGAAGGCCACCACCAAGGGTCTCAAACCAGGGGCATGACTCTCGCCGAGGAGTACAGGTGAGAGGGCTTGTGCTGGGATTTTGGATGGTGACAAATGTGTTATGTTTGTGTATGGTGAATACCGATGGATGAGAAGTAGCCCAACGATAAATAGTATGCTTATTTGTGTGAGGTTATCTTGGGGACAGACACAAGCTCAAAATGGGCAGTGGACCTCCATCATTGGTCCAGGACATTGGCAGAATATGGATCAACCTGAAAACACATTGCCAAGCCATAACTGCACAATCATCTTCCAAGTGCAGTTCCACATTGATCGCATGTATGACAATATAAAGATCCATTGCAGATGTGGCTGTTGCACAAGGACCGATGTCTGCACACTGCATTGAAAGCATGCATCGACTGGACGCCACCGGTCGGCTGACCCCGTGTTCCATCGGTGCTGAAGGTCCATCCGAACAGTCAGGCGTAGCTCTGGGTGGGCGGTGCGGTCGGAGATGGTCCCTGTTGAGCGCCACCACTGCAGTGTGACTGCCATCCTCGTGCTGTACGGCTTGCCGCGCCTGCTCATCGGCTCCATCCTTGCCCACGAGGTGATGCACGCCTACCTGAAGCTCAACAACATCACCCGGCTGAGCCAAGACGTGGAGGAGGGGCTCTGCCAACTCATGGCGCTCATCTGGCTCGAGCGACAGAATCCACAGGTGGGTGGCACCAGAGCAGCTCGGGAAGAAACCTGCATCTTGGCGACAGGAACGTGTGGACAATGCTGCATGCTGTGTTCAAGGGAAGATAATATCCGAACCTGACCCCGTGGCACCTGCAGGAAGGAGGCGGTGCACGTTGGTGGTTCGATTCTGTTGACATGACTGTATTGCAATGCCTGTGTTTGTGGCGACGAAAATGAGTTCTAGTGTCGTGCATGTGCCTCCCAGTCGTATTTGTGCCAGAACATCTGATTCTTGTTGTGCAGAAATTCCTCTGCACGCACCTGGCCGTGGTGCTGGACGAGTGCTTTGGCTGCTGGTGGTGCGTGTTCTCGAAAAGAAAGGGATGTCACATTCGTCTCAACCTCCCCTCTCTTCTATTCTTTTGAGCGAAAAGGACATTCTGACACATTGTGAAAAGAAAACACGTGCGCACATGTGGGATGCTGGGGAAAGCGCAACGACTCGCAGCGATGAAAAAGGCCGATTGCGCATTCTGACACTGTGCACGCCCTGTCCGCTTCCAGGATGCCTACGAGACACGGCTGAGCAGCTTCACTGCCCACCAGATCCGAACCAACCCGACGCTTGTGTATGGCGATGGGTTCCGCGCAGCCCATGCGGCGTTCCAGTGCTATGGGCTGAAGGCCGTCGTGGACCACGTTCGAGAAACGCATCAGCTTCCAGTTCCGAACGGCTTCAAGTAATGGACTGGAGCTCGTTTTCCAACTTGCTGCTCTAGCCGGTGCTGATGAGCAGCCGTGTCGTGCGTGTCGGTCGTGGCTGTGGCCCTTTTCACGTGACTAGTCGCAGCCGTGGTTTTGCTCGTGTCTTCCTGTTGGGGTGTACGAGCTCTCTGTAGTTAACAAGACGACAGTGCGTACGAGCGGATGGGCTTGGCAGGCTGAACGGCTGAGCCGGCAGATCGCCGCGTGTGCACCAGCACTGGGAGTTGCAGCGGGCAGGGGAGGGCGAAATGCGGAGCAGCTGTGAGCAACATCAAGCACAGCATTGCGTCAAATTTTGTGACACCTATTGTTGGCGTCAGCCTTAGCGGACGGGGATTGTGTCGCTTCCACGAAATTGTTCTGGGAGAGGTTTGTGCTGTGAGGATTTATCAGTGGGCGTATGGCGGGTCCAGATCGTGGCGGGACCGGGGCTACTGCCAAATAACACACGGCAGGGCGTCTGTGCCCATGTCTGTGTTTGTGTCGTATGGCATCATCAGATGTATAACGAACAAAATTGACTAGCGCTGTTCTGTTTTTGAATTGATCCATTCAAGGAGGGGCGAGCCAAGGTTACTGAGTGCCTCGGCATGCCTTGGGGTGTTCGCTTCAATTGCATGGGAAACGCGTCGGCGAATCGCTGTAAAATGGGATCTGTGTGGGAATGAAAACAACGCGTCCCTGGGGACACCCCGGAAACGGGAAGGTCAACGCGCGTGAAAACCTTCATGGGTCGAGTGTGGAAGTGCTGAGCATCTGTGAAGACGGGGATCCCCGGAAAGCAACACAGCGAGTGGGAAATGAACCCGAATTGGAGCTTGGGGCAGGCCAGCGCAAACGACACTCTGCACAGTTGTGCGACCAAATGTCTTGCAGGTTTGTCCGGTACCCATCGCTTCCAGATGTGAAGGCAATGAAGGTACGAAGGTGCGCTAACCAAAGCCTTGAAAGGCAACTGATACCGACTACAGCAATCAACACTCACCCCAGATACCTAAAACTTAGCCCTATAAACTTGAACTAAACTCTCAGCCCGACAATACAATCAGAATGTTACCCTGAAATGAAGGAGGATTGAGCATTTGTAGTATCTTCCCCATATTGGGGAAGGTATGCTGTACTCAATGGCTCCCATACAGAGGGTACGGACTTGTACGCCTTGAGTCCCGTGTGAGCTGCCGGAGGGAGACGTTCCAATGCTGCAATGGCCTCTGGAAGCAACGGTTCGTCACCCAGTCGATGGCTGCTTTGCTTCCGAAGTGCGAGCGTTGACAGCAATACAATACATCTCAGGAACATGCCACTCTGGCCTATCTCAGCAAAAGCGCCCTCAGGTTGGTGTCTGGGGCCAACCGAAGGGACACACCAGGGCTGAGCAGAACAAACTCAAGGACAGGGACAGGACAGAGTCTACTGACGTCGCAGCGCACTGTATCCCTTCAACAACAGCCAGTGACGCAATTGTCAGAACACAGTATGGGTTTCAATCCTTCGCCCTGTGCATCCATGGACATGAAGGGCATTGCCAGAACTCAGAACTCCCCTGTGCCAAGCACATGTGCATCGACAAGCCCTCCTCTGCATGGCGGGGAGTGGCCTGCACAACGCCAGGCAGTCACGCGCAAACAGCCTCCACAGCAGGCGTCACAGCGTTATGGGAAAAATTACAAAGCCACGGAAACAATTATGCCCGCAGGAGGCATGCGTATGCTTGCACATGCTAACTAGCCTCTCCAAAGATCCCGGTGCATTAGAAATGAAAAACGCCTTCGCATTCTCTTTTCCCTCATTGTACAGAGCCCCTACTACAGAGGCAAGTTGCAGTGCCCACACTGCCTCCATCGACCCATGCGCCAGGGCAGAACTTCGGCCCAAGCACATTGATCCCAAAACGGTTAGTACATGACAGGGCGACCGCCATAGCCCTGCGGCCCCCCTGTCGAGTAAATCCCTCACCAGGACTGCAACCCACACCTGCCCATTGGCGACGCCACATACCAGCATTGCGCGTCCGAAATCTTCACAGGGCCAGTGCCTGGTCATTTTTTGACAACTGAAACCTCAGCAGATTTTAAACATACTTTTGTACAGCATGTCCAACTGCTGAGGGATGTGGCGTGCACATCCCCATTCCTACCTACAACTCTCCAAATCATTCTAAAGCGACACAGACCTCACTGCAGAATAGGCACGTCAACACTCAAGGTGGCGATGGCCTGACTCTCCTTGCGTGCCTTCGTCCCCTGAGCCGGGAGCACAGGCCTGAGACCCACCGGCCGATGGCACCGGCGGCCTCTTGCACATGGCCCCTGTTTTCGCAGATGTGCTCGATCAGCCGCGTGAGCACATCCACCTGCAGCTCCACATCCTGGATGACCAGCAGCGACAGCAGCTCATCGATGTCAAGGACACCGCGCATCTGCACCAACAGCCGTGCAGCTGGGACCTGAGGGCAGAACCACAGAGGCACAATGTCTTCAACACAATGGCACCTCCTCATAGTCGACCATCATGACCTATATCACACTCAGCTCTTCAGCAGCTGCACACACCTGACCATGTTGGGCACCCTGAACAAGTGGTTAGGGTGTGACTGCCAGGAGGTCCCACTGAACTACAATCTTTGGGAACATGAACAAGGAGAGATGAGAAGAAAAGAAAATGTATGTACGATGAACATTGTCTGCAATCCCTTGATGGCCCTGGGGTAGTGCCATATGGCATAGTGACGAATGAAACCAAAAAGAATCAGCCAAATGACAAATCAGTATGGTCCTACTGGAGGGACAACACTTGCCGGGCTCAGTTACAAAACAAGTGGGGCCTTAATGCTTTGCTTGAAGCTGATATGGAAAGCTCAAAGGCCAGGCAGCGCAATGTGTACGTCAGCAAGGACTTAGGAGACGTTTTGCTGAGGCCCAACAGTTTCACCAGGTACAGACTCAGATTTGTCTGCCAGGTGGCCCCAGATGCACTTTTGATACGCACACATGCCTTGCATGCTTGCTTTTCTTATGAATCTAACAAGGCACAAAGTCAAAAGCAATACAATGTGAGGAAGACAGACCCGCAAGGAACAAACCGGTCAGCTCTATTAAGCCCTGCTACACAAGCAGAGTGCCTAGAGGTGTGCTGCAGAGCTCCACTTCCAGGAGAATGGCCACCAAGGCCTTGTGGAAGCCAGGAGTGGAAGAAACCAATACTGTTTCATTGCGCACAACAGTGTTCACTGGTAGCAAGCCAAGCAGTGCACTACCAGCAACAAGGGTCCACCTTCTTCTGAAACCACCGCAGCTTTCTCAGCTCACCTTCACACAGATTTGGCAGTGTTTCCACCATATTCAACAGCCCCTTATTGGGTGTTCAATGTGGTGACACGGTTTTCAGTGCCAAGCTTGCGAGGCTTATGTAGACTGTTGCATTGTTACACTATGCTTATTCTTCGTGGTGGCACCTGACATGCCTGCCGTAGTAGGCTCATTGTATGCAGCAACAAGTTTATCCACTTTCACCCCTTCTTCAGGAACAAGAGACCCACTGACCTGAAGCCTGTCCTCCCAAAGCAGCTGCTTCAGCAACTCCAAGTCCAGCACCCTCCTCAGGGCCTTAATCCGCTCCTCGTCTGCATGCTTTACCATGTCACGTATCACCACTAGTGCTGCATATGCCTCAGGCAGTTTCCTCTCCTGCACCAGGCTCCACAGCCCCTCTATGTCATACACAGAGACCCCTTTTGAGGTGACTATTGACAGGCAGAGAGCTGGTTCATCCAGAGGAGCTGTGGAAGATGAGGCGTCCTCAGCTGTCATTGGGGGTATGCTGCTGGGGCCCAGCTCGATGCCCTCTCTTGAGGCCCACTCCTCGATCGCCACACGCAGCACATGGATCTGTGTGAGTCGCTGACTCAGCAGCCTTTTCCCTGCTCAAACCACACGGGGCCACCCATGAGTTTCCTTCGTCAAATGCCTTGCCACAATCTGGGAGGTTGGTGGACTTTGCCACTGCAGGAACGACCCCAGAGCACTACCCATGCCAGAAGAAGCCAGCATGTTCCCGATGCATTGCCCACATCACAAGCACTCCTGACCAGTTACTCCACCCAACTGTGGAAATGGCAGGAATGTAGATGTTGCCAACAGCTGTGCAATGTGCATTTCAACATTCTGCAGTCACTACTCTGGCAGCAAAGCTCACAAACTGACCATGCAATACCCTTGAATGTGAGAATGTGGCAAGTGCACAAGGGGATGTGTCTTCCATGGCACACATAGTGTATATGCAAGGTGGAGATGGTGACAGTGAATGACAGTACATGACTGGGGTCCAACTCAGTATTGGGCATTTGACATAAGGTGTATTGTGTAATCCATCCTTCACAATGTGTCTCCTGTCCATGGGAGTGGCGGAGGGTGAGACTTTACCAAGCGCTGACCAGTGCATTTTGTTGCAATAACAGCCACAACATCTCCATAGAGATCTGGGTTCACAGAGTTCAGCATACATTATGTCTGCTTTCAGCACAACCACTGCTTTGACTGCCCACATTTTTCACCAAGAGGACTTATGCACGGCAAACAGTGACAAGTTTCAGAATTGGCAAAGAGCAAGTGCACAAGCACTGCTCACAAAACTTTGCAGCCACAAACTGCAGGGTTTACAATACCAATCTAACCCATTTGCTATGGTGTGGGTTGATGTTCTGCAAGTGGAATGGCAGCATACTCAGTTTTGGCAGAACATGGCCATCAGTGGTACATCAATGGCCCAGACTCAATGTGCCCCAACAAGGCTGCACAGGTACAGCATAGTTCACAAGCCATGTGCAATGCTTCAGGAGATTTGTGCAGAGTCCCACAGTGATCCTTTCTGGTAAGGGGCGTACAAAATGTGTTGTACAACCTACTCCTTTCTATCAACAAGACTATCTTCTCCATGGCTGCCAGAGATGAGGCCCTACCTGTCAGCGGGCATGTGTTGCGCCCCCTGAGAAACCAGCCCTTGATGGACTCCTTGTCATATATCTGCCCAGTCTCCACCAGAACGACAGGGTCCCTCATAATCTCCCTCGAAATTGGACAAACAAACACTTCAGGAGGTGCAAGGGTCTCAGGGCCGCTGGTGCCCGCTGACGTTGAAGCCATCTTTTCTCCCCAGCCTGGCAATGGGTTCTAAGATGAAGCCACCTGATTCACAGAAATCCTGTGTCAGGCCACCATCGTGCTGCCACTGCGGCGAACGCACGCCTGGCATAGCCACGGTCCATGACAGTGGCAGAGGCAAGGCAAATAGCATTGTGCCTCTCCCCGTGAGACCCCCACCTGAAGCACGGAGAAGCAAAGGGGCATCTGCCGCGCAAACAGGCGAGCGGCAAAAGCGGAAACTGATGCCGATCACAGCGATGACTGTGGACGTGCAAACTCAGACAACAGCCCCATCGCCGGTGCCGATACTGGCTCCGCAATCGACGCCGACACTGGCGCACCGAGGTCGCGGAAAGTCCCAGAGAGTGTCGACGCGGAAGCCACTGTGCTATGCAGGAATTCCGGTGCAGCAGCAACGGCTGCGCCCACGCCTTGAAGCCCAACAGCGCAGCAGTCTTTGCACTGAAGCCTCTCAACTACGCTGGGGCTATCCGCGCTTCCCCTGCACTGGGGCGCGCCCCGCGCCGACCGATCTGTGCCAAGGCTAGGGCTGGTTAATAGAGCACATCCCCCCAAACCTGGTCTGCCATCAAATCCAGTCCATGCCTTTGAGCAGGCAGCTCACCAGGCACCGGCGACAGCCGGCAGCGGCGCCGTCCACGCCGCCCGGCAAAGTGGATACCCGACGCGCGGCCCCTCGCAAAAGACTGCCCCACGCGACCCTACAACAGAAAAGGCGGCAGGGGACGGCGTCCCTGGAGGGCTCCGCAGCAGCGCATTCTGAGGCGCATTTCCTTTCCTCGCAACGCCGCTCGCGCGGCCTATCCGGCCCGGAAAAGGCGCGATGAACTCGGGGCTCGGCAATACGCCTGCGACCGAGAAAGACGGGCGCTCGCCGTCCCAATGCCACGAAGGCTGAACTCAGAGATAACCTCGTGGCGCGGGGGAGCTCCGACAATTACGCACTCACCCCTTTCAGCCGCGGCTGAGGCAACGCGGACGGCCACAAGGTTTGTCCTCGCGCCCAAGCGGAGGAGTGCGCCCGTCGTTATCCCCCTGGCGCCCTTGGAGGGAGAGGCGACCCTGCACTCCGACGAAAGAGCCATCAAGGGCAACGAAGCCCCACGTCACACAGGCCTGCAGGCTGGCATCCTGTTGGTCTTATTGTTGACATTGTTGTGCATTTTGGTGTAAACTCTGCGCACCCAGGTCTTCAGTGGCAAGGTGGACAGGACGCTTGACACCAAGCGAAACCGCTGGGAAGGAGCTCGCGGCGGTAAATGCTGCCGGGGGGCCGCCCTGGGCCCTGTCGATCGCAGTCAGTTTTAGGACGCTTGAGCGTCAATCCAGCTGCCAATTTGTTTTTTTGGCAAGCGACACCCTCATTTTTTGCTAGAAAGAGTTCATACTTCCATAGGTCTTGCCAAGAAAAAGTTTTTCTGCTATATTCCAATTTGCACGCAAAACATTACAGGAGGCACCATCAGCCACGACACAAATCCTTGAAAGTCACTGCGCACTTTCTTTCTTGAAAGTGAAAACATAGAGCCAAAATAGATGCATGCGAGATGCAACACAAGTGTCCATGGAACCACATTTGCAACAAAGCCGCCGCATTGACGTCAATGATTCCGTTGTTGCTCAAACTATTGCCAAAAGTCAGGAAATCATAAAAAATGGCACTGGTGCCCATGTCGATCGCGTCGCAGTGCCCAGATCCACACTCTTACAACTTGACTTATGGGTTGAAAGCGGGTTGAGGGGGGCAGGGCGACCTGTGACCCTAAACAAGTCTTGACTTGTTCCTCAAGTGTTCAATCTTCAAGGAAGCTCTTAGAATGTATCAATTTGAATCCATTGAGGCTGCCCGCCTCGCCTATCATGTCTTCTGAATACCCCATCTTTCAGCACACTAAAAGCAGTACATCTCCGACCGTTTTATATCGTCAGAAACACTGAATTGTTGTCTATTGGAGGTCGCACAGGCGTCAACGGCAGCGCCGCGAGGGCGGGCTTTGCGGTCAGGCAATAACGCCTGGCGGCACTTCCGACACGGGCGCCGGCAGAGCGACCGGGCGGCTGGCGGTTGGCGGTTAGCAGTAACCGCCTACAAAAGGCGCAGCCGCCGCCCCTGAGCCCGAGTCGCGTAACAACGCCAGCGAGAAGCGTCAGCATCGGCTGGCATCGGCTGAGCCCCCGCGAAGGCTTTCGGAGGGGCACACCTGGGCGATGCCTGCCCATCGCCGGCGCCCTGTTGAATGCTGTGGCCCTGGGGCGGAGCCGCTGCCCCGGGGGACGGATGGCGTGAGCGACGACTCTGGAGGGGAGAGGCGCGGCTGGCTGAGGCGGTCGGGTGAGTGCGCTTGCCGCGCGTGCCTGCCACGAAAAGAGGCCACTCTTGATACCTTTCGATGATATCAAGACGATAAACGCAAAGCCTCGTCGCCCGCGGCACGCGGCTCCTTTCAGGCGTTAAGGTGGCGAGTGCTGCGCCTTCAGTGTTTCGCCGCACCATTGCTCCGGGCTGGCGTTTGTTGCGGGAAGGAGGCAGCGATGTGCCGACTTCGATTGTGCGCGTTTCGGCAGGTGCACTGGTCTCGGCATCTTTCGAAGCGGCTGCTGCGGGCCGCGCTGCGCGTTCAGCGCCCTGGGAGCCTTGGTGAGCTGCGCTACGCGGACGAAGGCCCTGGCTGAAGAGTGGTGGACTGGGAGGCTGGCCAACACGGTGTCGCGGAGCGCCATCGAGCTTGGCCGTGGCGGCGGCAGTGCCCGAAGGCGGCGAAGCATGGCCGTGTGCCTTGTCCAAGTCCACCGAGGCGTCCGCACTGTAGGGGAGGAAGCAGGTGGCTTTTTTTTACGCGCGCAGTCGCGATGCGGTCACCGTCCCACAAACGAATAACAGCAACAACAGCATCAAAAACAACAAAGGCATAATGAATGCACATTGCTTCCGGCGCCATATTTGCTGCAGTGATGCACATCCAGATATTGTGTTGGCCGTGTCGAGTCGTCATCTGATGGTTTTGTAGTGTTTTCAATAATTGAAAATTGTTGAAAGATTTGTACTTGAAAACGTTAGCTTAGAAATGTTGAGTGTTCTGGCTTGATTTGGGGGATTCATACCCCTGGCGTATATGATGTGAAGTTCAAGCAGGGTCCAAGCTCATCGCCACAATTTTGACAAATTTCAGTGATAACCGAAACTTTTGTGGTGGAGAAGCTATGCACCAAAGTCGTAGAAGACAACTAATATGGGAAGAAGTAACAAAGATGTTGATGATGGAAAAGTATACAAGTAAATGTGCGTGTACATAGATATGTCTGTGCAAATGTACTCATAAATATCATCATAGTTATTGTTAATAATGATGAGTATAGTAGTAATTGAAGAAAGGCAGTGTGGCCGTGTGCTGCTTCATGAGAGCCTTGCAATGAATGGGGTGTTGGCCAATGCAGGGATGAGATGAAGATGTGGACTGTTGCCTCCGAGGCAGTGCTAATCTTCGTTTCCGTGATAGCGAACTGAAAACTGAAGACAATTGAAGCCGGCAAGACTGCCATGATCAAACGCCATCTTGAACGGAACATTGCAGATGAAAATAGGTCATGTCAGGGCCCGAAACGAGGTGATTAGCCAGACAGACACTCAGGAGAACGATGTTCACTTGCATGCAACATTGCTAAGGGTGTCATCACTGGTTGCAGCAACAGAGTGTGATTGCTGCGAACTTCTTCGAGAGCCATATATATGCAATGCAAAACACGTGCTGCACTTCATGTCTGTTTTGACAGCTCGGCGGCATGCACATGTGTAGTATGATTGTGCAGTCATCTTGCGCCAGCATCCCGTGCACATAATCCCATGCATCTGGCAGTGTGTGACTGTCATTTCATGCACCGCATCATTCTGCCGTTCAAATGTTGTCATGAGTTATATATGCTGAATCAAACGTGACGGGGAGCCTCAGGCCGCCTCCAGCGGGGACCCAGGAATGTGTGGCTTGTTGTAAATGCAGTTTCCAGCATCTCTGGGAGGGCGGGGCAAAAGGGGTCGGTGGAGCGAATATGCAGCGTCGAAACACACCGTCCTTTATCCGGTTAGGACAGTTGATAGCCGCTGGGCTGTGGCGGTGACGCCTGACCAAGATGCAGCCATGGTAGAGTGGAAGGCCAACTGCGGAGCAGCAGCTTGCGAAAGTGCGGCTGTTGCGGATGGGAGGCTGGCCAACACGGTGCCGCGTAGCGCCATTGAGCTTGGCCGTGGCGGCGGCAGTGCCTTAAGGCGGCGAAGCATGGCCGTGTGCCTTGTCCAAGTCCACCGAGGCGTCCATATTTCTAGGGGAGCTGCAGGTTAGCGTTTTCGCCCCAAGGCACCCAGTTGCGACTCGTTCGACGATCGGCAATGAACAGGAAACACAGCCTAAATTTTGTAAAGAAATAATGAAGTGCGCATTGTTTCCACATCCTCGTCGGAGCGATGCACATATGGACTCCTTCTTTGCCTTGCCGCATCGAACATTAAAACGGGGCAGGGGGCGGGAACCCAAAGGCCATCACCGATGTGGACCGAGGAATTGATACATCCTTGTGCATCCAGTGCCTAAGAACCGCCGTGAGGCTTCTGGGACGCATCGCATCGTCAAAGCAGATTGTCGCTTTTACCGGCCGGGTTGCTGAGGACCGCTGGGCTGTGGCGAAGATACCGGACCAGGATGCGGCGATGACGGAGCACAGGTCAATTGTGATGTAAGATTTGGAAATAGAAGTAGGGAAATATACTACAGGAAACTCTGAGACGGCCTTGGAAAGAAGGTGAGTGATCACTGGCAACCATGAAATTGAGTGACTTGAAAACAATGTGTTCAAATTATTTTGGCATGGCCTCCACGGACGTTGTTTTTTCTTTTCAAATGGAGGCAAATGAATGCTTATGTTTTTGGTGTTTGCAGCCCACCAAATGTTGTTTCCATTGGCCAGCCTTAGTGGCCGGAGAGACACCG